AGGTGCCACTGATGGGCATTGACAGGCATCACTGTTGGCCACTGAAAGGCAGCACTCATATATGGCACTGATAGGTGGCACTGATAGGTGGCACTGATTGGCACTATTAGGTGGCACTGATGGGCGGCACTGATGGGCACTGATGAGGAGGCACTAGTAGGTGCCACTGATGAGCATTGACAGGCATCACTGATGGGCACTGAAAGGCAGCACTCATATATGGCACTGTTAGGCGGCACTGACTGGCACTGATAGGCAGCATTGAATGGCACTATTAGGCATCACTAATGGGCACTGATAGGTGGCACTGATGGGCACTGATGAGGAGGCACTAGTAGGTACCACTGATGAGCATTGACAGGCATCACTGATGGGCACTGATGAAAGGCACAGTAGGTACCACTGATGAGCATTGACAGGCATCACTGACTGGGCACTGAAAATCAGCACTGACTGGCACTGTTAGGTGGCACTGACTGGCACTGTTGGGCAGCACTGATAGGCAGCACTGACTGGCACTGATTGGTAGCACCAACTGGCATTGACAGGTGGCACTGACAGGTGACACTGAAAGGCAGCTCAGATGGACACTGATATGTGGCATTGATGTGGCACTGGTAGGCACTGACAGGGGCAGACTGACAAATCATGGGGCCCCCGGGCAATAGGGGATCATGGGGCCCCTGTGTCCTTGCCCAAACTCAAAAAAGCCTATGAAAAAGGTACCAGGGGGCATCTCATGGGGCCCCCTACTGACCCCGGGCCCTCGGGCAGTGCCCGAGTTTCCAAATGGTCAGTCCGCCCCTGGGCACTGATATGTGGCATTGATGTGCACTGGCAGGTGGCATGGATGAGCACTGAAAGCTGGCACTGATGAGCACTGACAGGTGGCACACTTCTGGGGCCACACTGATCATCAGGGCACACTGATCAGTGTAGATGTCCCCTTTAAGGAACGCCTCTCCTCTCGAGCTGTCAGCAAGGGGAGAGAAATGCAGATAACTGGCATTTCCCTGTTTACATGGCATCAGCTGATCACATGACCGAGCCGACATCTTTGGCTCTTTCCGTTGATTGGTGATCCGCTGTGTCCGAGGTACACAGCGCACCGCCGATCTCCGCGCTCCCTGAGCCACGCACGCGCGGTTGGAGTGGGAGAGGACGTCATATAATAATCCTCCCAGAATGAGAGAACCGCCTTGCCCCGTCATTTCACTTATATATCCGGCGGGAGGCGATTAATATTCATTATTATATCATCCTGCAGTACAGGATTAGTACAGAGCAGGGGCGGACTGACCATTTGGAAACTCAGGAACCGCCCGAGGGCCCAGGGGTCAGTAGGGGGCCCATGAGATGCCCCTGGTACCTTTTTCATAGGCTTTTTTGAGTTTGGACAAGGACACAGGGGCCCCATGATCCCTTATAACCCGGGGGCCCCATGAGTTGTCAGTCCGCCCCTGGTACAGTGCTCACATGACTCCACCCCTTTTGAAAAGTAAGATTTGAACCAATATCTCAATGAACAGAACAATTTCTGAGTTTTATTGAACATTTGTTCGGCTCATTACAGGAGAGTAAGGTTCATAATAGAACAGATTACAGAATCTTCAATTTGACTCCAATTTCTTTGTCCTTTACAATGGTGTCAGAGGGAGCAGTAAATGATTGCTGCAGTAGGCACCGTGCATTGTTCTTTGTACTCCTCACCTTTGTGACACCATACAGTTGTGAAGACATCGGTTCCAAAAACATTCATCTTGGTCTCATCACTCCAGAGTACAGGGTCCCCGTAGCAGGGGCGGACTGACCATTGGGGAACTCGGGCACTGCCCAAGGGCCTGAGGTCAGTAGGGGGCCCCATGAGATGCCCCTGGTACCTTTCATAGGCTCTTTTGGGTGTGGTTTGAGCGTGGGCAAGGACACAGGGGCCCCATGATCCCTTATTGCCTGGGGGCCCCATGAGTTGTCAGTCCACCCCTGCCCAGTAGTTCTCTTCTTTTTCAGCATGGAGCCTGTCAAATTCTAGGTGGGCATTTTTGTACAAGGGCTTCAGGAGAGGCTTCCTACGTGGACGACACACCCATACATGCCATTCCTCTGCAGTGTACACCGTATGGTGTCACCGGAAACAATTGCCCCAGTTTGGCTTTCTACTTCTTTAGTGAACTTGCATCTTGATTTTCTTCAACCCTTCTCATCAGAAGATGCTCCTGTTGAGGTGTTAACTTCTGTGGAAGGCCTGGACGTCTCTGTGAAATGGTTGCAGTTCCATCTTTGTTTAATTTTGCACCACTTTTTGATAAGTAAAGCTTTGCTGATCTTCTTGTAGCCTTCACCTTTTGTGTGTAAAGAAATTATTCTCTTTCTCAGGCCTTGTGACATTTCTCTTCCATGTGGTGTCATTACTGACAGCATGAAATGGGGAGGAGTTTTCTTTGTTAAGTCACGCCCTTTTATAATCACCCGTCTGCTGGACACCTGTTTAATGAACAATTAGATGCACCTGGAGTTGAATTCTAGTAAATTACAATTTTTTTGTCTAAAATTTAGCTTTGCTCCTAAGACTTTCATTGGGGTGTGTTCATTTTTGCAACATGGTCTTGGACGAATTTGTTAGGAAAAACTTTTTTGTGTGTGCAAATGAACAAATCTTGTCTGCAATCAATAGCCGGCATTTGTGGGAGGATTTTGTAGCACAGTATCCCATAGAAAATGTGGATTCTGAAAGGAAAGGTTTTCTGACAAATCTGTTCGGGTGGACTCATTTATGGTGAGCACTGTATGTCCCTTACATTGGTGTCAGTGGGAGTAGTATGTCCCTTACATTGGTGTCAGTGGGAGTAGTATGTCCCTTACATTGGTGTCAGTGGGAGTAGTATGTCCCTTACATTGTGGTCAGTGGGAGTAGTATGTCCCTTACCTCGGTGTCAGCAGCAGAGTATTTTTGTCCCTCACGTTGGTGTCAGTGGGAGATATGAGATACCAAAAAAAATCTAATTTTACAGTAGTAGGTTTATTAGATTAATAATGTAATTGGGAGTAGTATGTCCCTTATACTGATGTCAGTGAAGAAGTATGTAACTTACATAGGTGTCAGTGGAGATGTATGTACTTACATAGGTGTCAGTGGAGTAGTATGCCCTTATATTGGTGTCAGTGGAGTAGTATGTCCTTACATTGGTGTCAGTGGAGAAGTATGTCCTTACATTGGTGTCAGTGGAGAAGTATGCCCTTACATTGGTGTCAGTGGAGAAGTATGCCCTTACATTGGTGTCAGTGGAGAAGTATGTCCTTACATTGGTGTCAGTGGAGTAGTATGCCCTTATATTGGTGTCAGTGGAGTAGTATGCCCTTACATTGATGTCAGTGGAGAAGTATGCCCTTACATTGGTGTCAGTGGAGAAGTATGCCCTTACATTGGTGTCAGTGGAGAAGTATGCCCTTACATTGGTGTCAGTGGAGAAGTATGCCCTTACATTGGTGTCAGTGGAGAAGTGTATATATTAATAGCTCACCAAAGATGTATATTGTACAGACATGTACTCAGGTGATGACATCCCAGCAGGGACAATATTCTGGGTCCAGGTAGGACTCCTTTCTCAGGCGTGTGATGAGATGCACAATACAGTGCAAAGGCATTCAAAGTGAAATCCACCAATCCACATCGCAGGGAGCCACCCGATGTGACCTCTGACACCATGAGACATTGAAAAACTGTCCAAAACCGACAAACGATCCTCCCCATATCTCATAACCATAGTGGCCGTGTCCGGGGTCATCGCCTTCAGCCAGAGACCCGTCCGGATTCATTGCCTTCAGCCCCAGACCTGTCCGGGGTCGTTGCCTGCACTCAGGGCAGGAATACGGATTATCCCCTGTGAGACTTCTGATATTTTTTGAGACTGGACTTCTGTGAAAACATTTCCCGCACTCAGGGCAGGAATACGGCTTCTTCTCCCCTGTGTGAGATCTTTGATGTACAACCAGGTCTGATCTCCATGAAAAACATTTCCCGCACTCAGGGCAGGAATATGGATTATCCCCTGTGAGACTTCTGATGTTTTTTGAGACTGGACTTCTGTGTGAAAAACATTTCCCGCACTCAGGGCAAGAATACAGCTTATCTCCTGTATGACATCTTTGATGTACAACAAAGTTTGATTTCCATGAAAAACATTTCCCGCACTCAGGGCAAGAATACAGCTTATCTCCTGTATGACATCTTTGATGTACAACAAAGTTTGATTTCCATGAAAAACATTTCCCGCACTCAGGGCAGGAATATGGGTTCTCCTCTGTCTGAGACCTCTGATGTGTAAGAAATACGGATTTACGTAAAAAAACTTTCCCGCACTCACCAGAGGAAAATGGCATTTTTCCTGTGTGGCCTATCTGATGTTCAGTAAGACTGGACTTTATGTGAAAACATTTTCCACACTCAGGGCAGGAATACGGCTTCTCACCGGTGTGAGAGCTCTGATGTTTGGAAAGATGGAACCTCTGTGTAAAACGTTTCCCACACTTAGGACAGAGAAAAGGTCTCTCCCATGTGAGATCTTTTATGTATAGTAAGTTCTGATTTCTTTGGGAAACATTTCCCGCACTCAACACAGGAATACAGCTTTCCCCCTGTGTGAGATCTTTAATGGATAACAAGTTCTGATTTCTTTGTGAAACATTTTCCCACACTCAGAACAGGAATATGGCTTTCCCCCCTGTGTGAGATCTTTGATGTATAACAAGTTCTGATTTCTTTGTGAAACATTTCCCGCACTCAGAACAGGAATACGGCTTTCCCCACGGGTGAGATCTTTAATGGATAACAAGTTCTGATTTCTTTGTGAAACATTTCCCGCACTCAGAACAGGAATACGACTTTCCCCCGGGTGAGATCTTTAATGGATAACAAGTTCTGATTTCTTTGTGAAACATTTCCCGCACTCGGAACAGGATACGGCTTTCCCCACGGGTGAGATGTTTAATGGATAACAAGTTCTGATTTCTTTGGGAAACATTTCCCGCACTCAACACAGGAATACGGCTTTCCCCCCTGTGTGAGATCTTTGATGGATAACAAGTTCTGATTTCTTTGTGAAACATTTCCCGCACTCAACACAGGAATACGGCTTCCCCCCCTGTGTGAGATCTTTGATGGATAACAAGTTCTGATTTCTTTGGGAAACATATCTCGCACTCAACAGAGGAATACGGCTTTTCCCCCTGTGTGAGATCTTTGATCTATAACAAGTTCTGATTTCTTTGGTAAACATTTCCTGCACTCACAGCTTTTCCTGTGCAAGATCTTTGATGGATAACAAGTTCTGATTTCTTTGTGAAACAAGTTTCCCGCACTCAGAACAGGAATACGGCTTTCCCCCCTGTGTGAGATCTTTGATGGATAACAAGTTCTGATTTCTTTGGGAAACATTTCCCGCACTCAACAGAGGAATACGGCTTTTCCCCCTGTGTGAGATCTTTGATGTATAACAAGTTCTGATTTCTTTGTGAAACATTTCCCGCACTCAACACAGGAATACGGCTTTTCCCGTGCAAGATCTTTGATGGATAACAAGTTCTGATTTCTTAGTGAAACATTTCCCGCACACAAACACAGGATACCAGCTTTCCCCCCTGTGTGAGATCTTTGATGGATAACAAGTTCTGATTTCTTAGTGAAACATTTCCCGCACTCAACACAGGATACCAGCTTTCCCCCCCTGTGTGAGATCTTTGCTGTATAACAAGCTCTGATTTCTTTGGGAAACATTTCCCGCACTCAACACAGGATACCAGCTTTCCCCCCTGTGTGAGATCTTTGATGTATAACAAGTTCTGATTTCTTTGGGAAACATTTCCCGCACTCAACACAGGATACCAGCTTTCCCCCCATGTGAGATCTTTGATGGATAACAAGTTCTGATTTCTTTGTGAAACATTTCCCGCACTCAGAACAGGAATACGGCTTTTCCCCCCGTGTGAGATCTTTGATGGATAACAAGTTCTGATTTCTTTGGGAAAACATTTCCCGCACTCAACAGAGGAATACGGCTTTTCCCCCTGTGTGAGATCTTTGATGTATAACAAGTTCTGATTTCTTTGTGAAACATTTCCCGCACTCAACACAGGAATACGGCTTTTCCCGTGCAAGATCTTTGATGGATAACAAGTTCTGATTTCTTAGTGAAACATTTCCCGCACTCAACACAGGATACCAGGAGCTTTCCCCCCTGTGTGAGATCTTTGATGGATAACAAGTTCTGATTTCTTAGTGAAACATTTCCCGCACTCAACACAGGATACCAGAGCCCTGTGTGAGATCTTTGCTGTATAACAAGCTCTGATTTCTTTGGGAAACATTTCCCGCACTCAACACAGGATACCAGCTTTCCCCCCTGTGTGAGATCTTTGCTGTATAACAAGCTCTGATTTCTTTGGGAAACATTTCCCGCACTCAACACAGGATACCAGCTTTCCCCCCATGTGAGATCTTTGATGGATAACAAGTTCTGATTTCTTAGTGAAACATTTCCCGCACTCAGGACAGGAATATGGCTTTCCCCCCGTGTGAGATCTTTGATGTTCAGATGGTCCACCGCTGAGAGAGGTCATGGTCTTTTTCCTTCTTGCACCTTCTTGGAGAGATGTCCTCATCTTCCATTCCACAGTCTGGAGATGAAGGGAGATGATCCTTCGAGATGTTCTCAATGGCGTGTCCTGGAGAAAGACAACACGGAGGATGGATATAAGAGTTCTCCATCAGTTTCAGCCGCTTTGGTGGTAATGAAATGAACAGGTGCACTAGATGGGCAACAATGAGACAACCCCCAAAACAGGAATGGTTTTACAGGTGACATTTTTTCCCTTCTCATCTTTTCTGATGTTTTTGCCTTTGGCTCGGGTCAATTTCACTACTGGTGTCATGAGGCCATACCTGGACCCTACAGAGGTTGCACAGGCAGTCCAACTCCTCAGGATGGCACATCAATAGTACCATTGTCAGAAGGTTTGCTGTGTCTCCCAGCACAGTCTCAAGAGCATGGAGGAGATTCCTGGAGACGAGAGCATGGAGGAGATTCCAGGAGACAAGAGCATGGAGGAGATTCCAGGAGACGAGAGCATTGAGGAGATTCCAGGAGACGAGAGCATGGAGGAGATTCCAGGAGACAAGAGCATGGAGGAGATTCCTGGAGACGAGAGCATGGAGGAGATTCCAGGAGACGAGAGCATGGAGGAGATTCCAGGAGACAAGAGCATGGAGGAGATTCCTGGAGACGAGAGCATGGAGGAGATTCCAGGAGACAAGAGCATGGAGGAGATTCCTGGAGACGAGAGCATTGAGGAGATTCCAGGAGACGAGAGCATGGAGGAGATTCCAGGAGACAAGAGCATGGAAGAGATTCCAGGAGACTGGCAGTTCCTCTAGGAGAGCTGGACAGGGCCATAGAAGGTCCTTAACCCATCAACAGGACCGGTATCTGCTCCTTTGTGCAAGGAGGACCAGGATGAGCCCTGCCAGAGCCCTACAAAATGACATCCAGCAGGCCACTGGTGTGAATGTCTCTGACCAATCAGAAACAGATTTCATGAGGGTGGCCTGAGGGCCCCAACGTCCTCTAGTGGGCCCTGTGCTCACTGCCCGGCACCATAGAGCTGGATTGGCGTTGGCCATTGAACCCCAGAATTGGCCGGTCCAGCACTGGCACCCTGTGCTTTTCACAGATGAGAGCAGGTTCACCCTGAGCACATGTGACAGACGTGATGGGGTCTGGAGAAGCCGTGGAGAACGTTCTGCTGCCTGTAACATGGTTCTCCATGACCGTTCTGGTGGTGGGTCAGTGATGGTCTGGGGAGGCATATCCATGGAGGGACACACAGACCTCTACAGGCTAGACAATGGCACCCTGACTGCCATTAGGTATCGGGATGAAATCCTTGGACCCATTGTCAGACCCTATGCTGGTGCAGCGGGTCCTCCTGGGATCCTGGGTTCCTGGTGCAGGGGGTCCTGGGTTCTTCCTGGTGCAGGGGGTCCTGGGTTCCTTTTGGTGCACGGGGTCCTGGGTTCCTCCTGGTGCAGGGGGTCCTGGGTTCCTCCTGGTACAGTGGGTCCTGGGTTCCTCCTGGTGCGGCGGATCCTGAATTCCTCCTGGTGCGGCAGGTCCTGTGTTTCTCCTGGTGCAGGGGGGTTCCCTGGGTTCCTCCTGGTGCAGGGGGCCTGGGTTCCTCCTGGTGCAGGGGGTCCTGGGTTCCTCCTGGTGCGGTGGGTCCTGGGTTCCTCCTGGTGCGGTGGGCAGTCCTGGGTTCCTCCTGGTGCGGGGGTCCTGGGTTCCTCCTGGTGCGGTGGGTCCTGGGTTCCTCCTGGTGCGGTCCTGGGTTCCTGGTGCGGTTCCTCCTGGTGCGGCGGGAATCCCTGGGTTTCCTCCTGGTGCGGTGGGTCCTGGCAGGGGGTCCTGGGTTCCCTGGTGCGGGGGTCCTGGGTTCCTCCTGGGCAGGGGGGGGGTCCTGGGTGCCTGGTGCAGGGGTCCTGGGGTGCGGTGGGTCCTGGGTTCCTCCTGGTGCGGTGGGTCCTGGGTTCCTCCTGCGGGGTCCTGGGTTCCTCCTGGTGCGGTGGGTCCTGGGTTCCTCCTGGTGAGGTGGGTCCTGGGTTCCTCCTGGTGCAGACAATGCCCGGCCTCATGTGGGGAGAGTATGCAGGCAGTTCCTGGAGGATGAAGGAATTGATACCATTGAATGGCCCCCCACACTCGCCTGACCTAAATCCAATAAAACCCCTCTGGGATGTCATGTTTTGGTCCATTCGACACCTCAGACTGTCCAGGAGCTCAGTGACACCCTGGTCCAGATCTGGGAGGAAATCCCCCAGGGCACCATCCGTGGTCTCATTAGGACCCTCCCCCGACGTTGTCAGGCATGCATACAAGCACGTGGGGGCCACACAGACTACTGAGGACCATTCTGAGTTGCTGCAATGACATTTCACCAACATGGACTCGCCTGCTGCATCATTTCTTCACTTTGATTTTCAGGGTGTCTTTGAATTCAGTCCTCTGTAGGTCGATCATTTCCATCCAACAATGGGGCGTCCTTACGTTCCTCACCCATCCCCCGTCCATGTCAGTGTTTTGCTGTTTCGGTCGTGCCCCAACAGCTCAGCATGGAATCCGGATTGGGAATGTGCTTTGTCCTTTTAGTGCTCTTTTCACATTTCTCTTCTTTTGCCTTTTTTTGTTTGTTTTCTTTTTTCTGTGTTTTTTTTTAACTCTGTGCGCCATCTAGCGTCTGCTCTCCGTACTGCACTCCCTGTATTAATCAGTCCGGTGTCACTTCCTGTCCGTGGAACGCTTTTCCTGTTTTCCGACATTTTAGATCCGGTTCCAGCAGGTTGAACAGATTCTCCGTCTCCATCCTGAACACACGGCCACTGTAGGGACCGCATGGGATCTGTTCCGTCTTCGCGACCAAAGCGGTAAGTCAGGTGGATCTCCTATTCATGGTCCCTGATGTAGACGTACCCATGACCTGCTATTCCTTCTCATCATGACTGATAATATATATATATATATATACAGTGAAGGAAATGCGTATTTGCTCCCCGGCTGATGTTGAACATTCGCCCCCCCTCACAAAGAAATGATCGGTCTAACGGTCTACACAATGGGTCTATGTTCGGTGTAACACTGAGAGACAGAATACAACAACAAATTCAGCAGAAATGCGTCTAACAAATGATGACTGATCTGCATGTTCATGAGGGAAAGAAGGATTTGATCCCCTTCACAAAACATGACTTAGTACTTAGTGGCAAATCCCTTGTTGGCAGTCACAGAGGTCATACATTTCCTGTAGTTGGCCCCCAGGTTCGCACACATCTCAGGAGGGATTTTGGCCCACTCCTCTTGGCAGATCCTCTCCAAGTCATTAAGGTTTGGTGGCTGATGTTTGGCAACTCAAACTTTCAGCTCCCTCCACAGATTTTCAATCGGATGAAGGTCTGGAGACTGGCTAGGCCACTCCAGGACCTTAATGTGCTTCTTCTTGAGCCGCTCCTTTGTTGCCTTGGCCGTGTGTTTTGGGTCATTGTCATGCTGGAACACCCATCCACGACCCATTTTCAATGCCCTGGCTGAGGGAAGAAGGTTCTCACCCCAAGATTTGAGGGGTACATTGCCCCGTCCATCATTCCTTTGATGCGGTGCAGTTGTTCCTGTCCCCTTAGCAGAACCCCCCCCCCCAAAGCAGAATGTTTCCACCACCATGTTTCACAGTTGGGATGGTGTTCTTGGGGTCATAGGCAGCATTCCTCCTCCTCCAAACACGGCGAGTTGAGTTGATGCCAAAGAGCTGGATTTTGGTCTCATCTGACCACAACACTTCCCACCAGTCCTCCTCTACATCATTCAGATGTTCAGTGGCAAACTTCAGACGGGCCTGGACATGTGCTTTCTTGAGCAGAGGGACCTTGCGGGCACTGCAGGATTTCAGTCCTTGTCGGCGTAGTGTGTTACCAATTGTTTTCTTGGTGACTGTGGTCCCAGCTGCCTGGAGATCATTGACAAGAACCTCACGTGTAGTTCTGGGATGATTCCTCACTGTTCTCATGATCATTGACACTCCACGAGGTGAGATCTTGCATGGTGCACCAGACCTAGGGAGACTGACACTTGTTTTGTGTTTCTTCCATTTGTGAATGATTGCACCAACTGTTGTCACCTTCTCACCAAGCTGCTTGGCCATAGTTTGGTAGCCCAGTCCAGCCTTGTGTAGGTCTACCATCTTGTCCCTGACATCCCTGGACAGCTCTTTGGTCTTTCCCATGGTGGAGAGTTTGGAATCTGATGGTTTGATTGCTCCTGTGGACAGGTGTCTTTTATACAGGTAACAACATGAGATTAGCAGCACTCCCTTTAAGAGACTGCTTCTAATCTCAGCTTGTTACCTGTATGAAAGTCACCTGGGAGCCAGAAATCCTGCTGAATGATAGGGGATCAAATCCTTCTTTCCCTCATGAACATGCAGATCAGTCATCATTTGTTAGACGCATTTCTGCTGAATTTGTTGTTGTATTCTGTCTCTCAGTGTTACAATATTATTATATTATTATTATACAGTATTTATATAGCGCCAGAAAGGTTTGC